CACAGAGGCGCTTTCCACAAAGGCAGGGGCCGGCGTCAGACGGGCCAGAAAAGCTTCAAGACTACCAAAGAGGCCCTCAAGAAACTTGGAAGGCCCCTAAGAGCCCCAAGGAAGGAGGCCCCCGAGAGGCCTCCAAAAGACCCTCAGAGAACTCTCAGGAGTGCCTACAAATTACCCAAAAGGCCCCCAGAAGGTCTCCTCCTCCTGCTCATCCTCTTCCTCATATTCCGCTTCTACCTGTTCCTCCCTCCCCTCACTCTCCAATTCCTTCTCCACCTGTTCCCCGAAGGCTTTCCAAACCGATTCGGGGAACACATGGTCCGATAGCTTGGCCAAGCTCTGACCCAAGTTTCGGCCACATAAGCGTTTTGAGAAATTCCCGGGACGGTCAAACAGGTTTTCGAGGACCCCGTATTTGGTTGTACGGTAGCTCCGAAGAGGTCTCCAAGTGGTTGCCAAGAAACACCGAGGTTGCACCAACAATGGCCGAAAAGGCCCGAGAGATGTCCTCCTTCTCCCATTATTCCTCTTCCTCCTGTTCCTCCTCCCGCTCCCCCTCCTCTCTCTGTCCCTCTCTCTCATTATCTCTCTTGTTCGTTCTCTTTATTGTTCTTCATTTCTCTCTCTCTCTCACTCTCTCTCTCTCCATCTTCATATCCCATCTGCTCATCGTCATCGTGCAGTGGATGATTCACGCTGATCCACATTGAGAATTTAATTTGGCCATCGAACGATGAGTCCGCAATGTCACGGCATCTCTGTGAAATTGCATGCACGACTATGGGCTTGTGAAACGCTCGCGTTGTCAGCGAGGCTGCTCACGTCGCATGGCCGTGGCCACTGTAGGAAAACGACTTGGCATGGCCCTGTCGCTCTGCTGCGCCATGCTTTGAGAAAGCTAAGCATGGCCCAGTCAAACCTGACGTCTCGACTTGCACTCACTTAAAAGCCCTGCTGCTGCAAACATGATCACGTGTGAAACGGCCACGGCGCCTCTAGGCAAAGGAGTAGGCACTGGTGAAACTGCATGCATGGCTATGGGCTTCTGGGACGCTCGCTCTGTGAGCAAGGCTGCTAAGATCGCACGGCCGTGGCCATTCTATGAAAACGACTAGGCATTGCTCTGCCGCTATGCTGCGCCATGCCGTGAGACAACTAGGCATGGCCCTGTCAAACCTGACGTCTCGGCATGCACTCGCACAAATTTCATGGTCCTTCGAGCGAACATGGTTACTGATAACGGCCGCGCCGCCTTTATGCGAACGACTTTGCATGGCCATGTCGCCCTACTGCGCCGCGATGCCAAAACCGATGGCCACGGCGCAGCTCACTGACTCGTGCCATTCACTTTCTGTTCGTGCCTTTGCCTTTCCTCTTTTTCCTTTTTTTTCGCACTCGTCACAGAGGCGCACTGGATTCTTGGCTCTCGGACTCGGGCGCCAAATGGTGTCTCTCAACCGGCCGCAGTTCTCGCACGCGGGGTGATGGCACGCGCGACAGACAACATACCTTACTCTCCGTCCATCCCTGTCGAACGCGTCCATTGCTAATAGATTGCGTCACCGCTTGCACTGTCATGCTGTCATGCTCGCATGCACTGCGTCCTTCGCTTTCTTCGCGCTGTCATGCTCGCATTTCTCACACATGTACGCCTCGAACTTCTCCCTGGCCTTCGAGTTGGGTCGCTTCGCTCCGCAAGACGTGCATGGTGGATATTTGTGATCCTCACAAAAGAATTCCCCATTCACCAGCTCTGTGGCTTTGATGGCCGCCAGGGGCCTGTTCTCGATTCCCTTTTCCTTGAAGCACTGCGCGCAGGGCGGGTAGGAGCACTCGTAGCACTTCTTCCGGGGAGTCTGCCTGAGGTTCTTCAGCACGTCCTTTACTTCCGACGCCTGAAACTCCCAAAAGCATTTCGGCTTACCGCACGTCGGGTTCGAGCACTTCCCGATGATCTTGTCGGCGTCCTTCCGCTCCCTGGCCACGCACCTCGCGCACTTCGCCTCCCCTGACGCATCTTTGCTGCGCCGGGCTTGGAGCATGTCGTCCACGAAGTGGTAGTCTGGTAGCTTTTGCCCGCAGGCGCCGTGGCACTGCGTCATTTCTCTGTCGTCTTTGCCAGGCTTGTACCCGAGGCACTCGTTACAAGTGGCGCTGTCACCGCCTTCACAAGCTTTCTGATTCACTTTGTTGAAATCCTGACGCGGCAGCTCGCGTGCGCACGGTCCATCGCAGCAGATGAGATGCATTTTCGGTTTGTACCAGTTCAGTTGTCCCTTGCACTTTATGCAAACCAAATCTACGCCTCGTCGAAGGACGTCTTGATCGAGAACTGCCTGGTCCCGACTGGAACTGAATGCTTTCATCTCCTTCCACTCATCGACGTCCTCGCCCCGTTCTTCTTTCTCAGGTTTCTCCTTCGCTGTCTGGTTGTCTGTGCAAATGCGGCACGGCAGTCTCATCGAGGAGAGCCTGTCGACCCGCTCCTCTTTCTCCTTCGCTGCTTTTCTGTCCTCTTCCTTCCACGCCGCCTTCACCTGTGAAGTCGTCGTGAGCTTCTTCGTGAGGACGTCCAGGAGGAGTCTTTGGCCCAGAAGCATCCCCTGTCGGAACAGGTGGGGAGAGCACGGCTGCACGATGAGCATGTTCTCCGCTTCCTTCACCCTGCTCATGATGATGTAGGCGCACAGCATCGCGTCCCCCTGCGGCTTCGTAGTCCACGAAAGACACTCCCCGATGGCAGCTGGCAGCGTACTTCCGCAATATGCGTGTGCTGTTCCACCGAAGTCAGGCACGATGGGGAAACCGTAGCGCTTCAACTTCATGGCGCCTCCGGCCCCCAGCGACCACGGCCGTGCCTGCGTGGACAGAGTGTATATACGGTGCCCGTCGATCTCTGGCATGAGTTTCGTCCCAGTGGGTACCTCGATGAACAACTTCGCAGGTCTTCTCTGCAAAACTATTTCCCAATCCATGAGTAATTTAACTCGCTCGTTCTCTTCTTCGGGGAGCTCCCAGCCGCGGAGGATGCCGCGCGCGTGCTTTATCACGCCCTGTTCTTTCGCCCCTCTGCCGAGCGCGTGTGTGAAGCGAACGGACAGATTGGGTACGAGTGGAAGCAGTCCTGGTGTTCCTCCTGTCTGGCGGTCGCGATACCCGAGAAGCCCTCTTTGGCCACTTCGCGCTTCTCCTCCGAGACGACCGTGCTCCCCGTGAGAACCTGGGGAGTGGTGCAGACATCCCTGCCGGGGTCAATTTCGACCGGCGCGTTCCCCGAATGTTTGATGCAAGCTTTCGGGGAACATCGCGGTCCTATTTTCCAGCCCGGCGGCTTACTAGAACGCATGCCGCCGATTCTCTTGCCGAAGTGTTACCGAACCGATTCGGGGAACACATGGGCCTTCCAGATACCTCCCCAAATCGTGCAAGGACGGCTCCAAAGGCCTCCGCGATGACGCCTGGGCGGCCCAAGAAGGCTCCACGACTGGTCCAAGAGTGCCTCCAATCACGGTCAAGATACCCGCGGCGCGGCGCAGAAATCCCCGCGGGGATCAACTCCGACCGGCGCGTTCCCCGAAAGCTTGTTGCAAGCGTTCGGGGAACATCGCGGTCCCATGTTGCGACGCGGCGATTCTCTACCATGCGTGCCACTGATTATCCTCGCGCCCTGCGACGATCTTCCCCTCCTCTTCCCTGTACTGTCCTCTCTTCCATCTCCTCTTCATGTGTTCCCCGAAGTGTTTTCGAACCGATTCGGGTAACACATGGGCCGCTGGCTTGGCTAACGCTAACTTCTAGCCTCTCACACACAACCTTCAACCGCAGAGGTGCTCCCAGAAAACTTTCCAAATCGTGTCAGGATGGCGACAAAGGCCTCCACCATGGCGACCGGGCGGCCCTAAAAGGCTCCAACACTGTCCCAAGAGGGCCTCGAAGAACGGTCAAGATGGCCCTCAGAGAAGCCAGGCTCCCATTTCTCCCGCCCCATCCTTGTCGTGCGCGGCAACCCAGAACACTTGCTCGTTGTTCGCCTTCGCGAAGGCGATGGCCCTCAGCGGCGCGGCATGGAACGATGGGTGCCAGAATGGGTGCACGAATCCGGCCACGTCCAACGGCGGACTCTGCAAGCTGCTCTCGCGTTCCTCGTCGCTGGCCCAAAGAGCGCTGCATCGGCGCCACCGCTCCGTCTTGCAAACGTCGCACTCCGTGTTCGCGCGGGCCTCCCAGTTCTCCTTCTGTCCACGTCCTCGCAAAAACACTTGTGCCCATTCACCTTCCCTCAGACCGGCGCACGTCGGATTGTTGCACCACGTTTCGTCTTCGTCTGGTAGCCACGTTCCCACATTCCGGGTCGGCAATCCATGGATGAAGCAATCGATTCCCCATGACTCCTTCCCATCTCGCTTGACGTGAAACACGGCGCGAAACCGGTTGTCCGTGGTGCGCATGGGCATCGTGAGATCGAGGGTATGTAGGATTCCTTCTGTGTCTTCTGGGACCCAGAACATTTTGAGCGTCCTCTGCTGTTCGGTGGGCGTGTCTGCAGTGAACGGGTTCGCGCATGTGGAAATATGCTTGAGTGGCGGTAATTGCCAGAATTCTCCCGCGATGATGATCGCTTTCCAAACTTATGTGATCGTGTCTCGGGGGGGTGTAGGACAGGGGGGGCCGTGTAAGATAGGCGCACCGTCCTGTATAGCATGGTGCTATGTGTTATCTTTCGCGTCCGCTCAAGCTTGTTCTGGCTCAAAGGGTCCCCCTAGAGCCAGATGTTTTCGCGCCCTCCGCCCCGCCAGCGCGGGTGCTCGCGGCGCGGGCTGATTTGTCTGCATCACGACAAGGTGTTTGTGGCTCGCCGCTTCTGTCCTCCCTGCATCGGGGACTTCGGCGTCCTCGACGCGTTCCTGGGGAGGCCGCTGGTTGCCCCCGAGGACGACGCTACCCTCCAATACGCCAGCGAGTCGGAGCGGCTGAGCTTCTACGACTACTTGCGGGTGCACATGAGCAGCATGACACGAAGGAGCCGCATCCACAAGACGGTTGGCCCCCAACGAGGGCAGGCGGTGCTCATGGTCATGAGGAGGTACCCCAAGAAGACAAACGGCACCAACTTGATCTATGCGAAGCCCGATCGCACCTTTGGCGTCGGCGACGGCAGTCAGGGTGGGACAACGAAGCTTTCCCCGCGTTGACGGGGGCCGATGCGATCGAGGTCTGGAGAAGGCCAAGGAGAAGCAGCTCGAGTCAGAGCTCTATATGACAAGCCTGCGTGGGTGGATCTCTTACGTGTCCTTGTTGCGATCTGGTGTGGTCGGCATCTGGGGGGCAAGGGCGTGGGGATCGACCATCGGGCTTCTCTTCCTCAGCTGGCGGGCGGCGGTCTATTTCAAGGCGTGGCACCAGGTCCGATGGGCCGTCGAGAAGTTCGAGGATGGCCACAACCTGCTTCTGGAGGTCGACGACCTGCGAGCCTTTCTGTACGTCCTCCACGAGGGTGGCAAGCTGGAGCTGCCCATCATGATGCTCACTGCGATCGTCGCGTTGGGCCCGAACCTGCACCGGCGCTGTCAGCGGCGGCCGAAGGCTTTCCTGGTTGGAGCGAGCCCGCCCGCGAACGATGTCGACAACGACTGGGGGGGCGGGCCACTCAGCGGCGTCCTCGGACGACTCGCAGCTTTCGAAGGACGCGCAGGAGATGAAGGCAATGGTGATGAACTTCCTGGACGAGTTCATTCGCCCGATGGCGGAGGAGCCCCCCGTCGGGCCCGATGGAGTGAAAGCCAGTCGTCGGCTGCTTCCCCTGCCCGGGGACAGCAGCCGCGCCAGCTCGGAGAGGGTCAGCGCCCTGAGCGAGCCGACCATGGACATGCACGTGGATCGGATGATCGACCGGTTGAAGAAGTTCGAGGACACGATGATCACCGCCGATCGAGCCGCTTCGAGCCGCCGCCCACTCGAGGGTGCGTCATCCACTACCGCGACCGCAGCATCCTCGACTTGCCCCGCCATCGAGCTGGGGGGCCCAGGGGGCTCCGAGGGGGCCGGGGTCAGCCTCGAGCCCTTGAGGGTGGCTCCGCGGGGCCCGCGGGAGCGGCTCCTCGAGAACCCTCCGAATATAAGCGCACCGCCGACCTTCGCCCTCCCCGCGGGCATGACTTCGAGGGTGGCCCCTGAGCTCCTCGTCCAGACCTATGGGAAGCGCGGCGGCACGGTGGAGTTCGCGACGGAGTGGGTTCGCATGAAGGAGCTGAAACGCAGCCACATCGGACGCGATATGACTGACTGGTCCACCACGGGGGGGTCATCAGATTAAGGATTTGCAACGTCGCCATCGTCGCCATCATCATCGTCACCATCACCGCCTATCATCATCACCGTCATCACATCACCAGCAGCAATCATCGTCATCATCATCATTATCATCAGCGGTTTCGGCTTTCAGACGCGACCAGTTCGCTTTTCGCGCCCCCCCCCCCCCCTCGAACCCTCGCAACAAGCAGCCGCCATGACTGGCGAGAGATCAGGTGGGGCAGCTCAGGCCCAGCCACCAGCGTAGAAACCCAACCCACCAGTCGCTGCGCCCGCCGCTGCCTCTGGCGCGCCGCCTCTCGCTCAGGCGCCCGTGGCCCCGCAGTGCGTCGCGCAGCTCCTCGAGGTGGAGAGCGCGTCGAGGCAGCAGGGTCAGCTCGCGGAGGGGCGAAGAACTACGTCGACCACGCTTTGCGCGGTTTCTTGCAGGGGCGCAAGCGCGAGTTGTCCTTCGCGCTGCCGCGGAAGTGTTTTATGATTCCGCCGGTGGTCATCACTCAAGCTGCCTCTGGCGCAAAGCTCATTGCGTTTCGCGAGGCGATGGGCTACGACGACCTGGTTGCGAGCTTCTCCTGGACCAAGCAGCGCGAGGAAGCGGGGGCGGCATGGATGTTGGATCCGATTTGCTCGGACATCGACGACGTCTGCGTGGGCCAGCTATAGGGTGCCATGGGTCCGTGGTCGGAGGAGACGCACCGCCTCTCCTCCAGTCACGCGCCCTCGCGGCGCTTCTCCTTCGACGTTTCCCCCCAGTCAAGGTGGTCGACGCCGAGGTCGCCCGGCGCGTTGAGCCTGGCATGCCTGGTTCGCGCGGCCGAGCCTCTGACCGTGCTCGCGGGGCGCGCGGCGGTGACCGCGCGGCGCTCTGCTATGAGCGAGGAGCTCCAGCAGTCCAACGATGACCGCGCGTGGTATCTTTTCAACGCCGCTTTGACATTGTCCGTGCCCATCGGGATGCGCGCGCTGCCCGATGGCGACGCTAGCCACGTGGCCGCCTTGATCTTTTCAGAGACGACCTTCGCTTCGCGCGCTGCATCTGGCGCCAATTCCTGCTGGGGGTTCGTAGAAAAAGCGCGCCGACTGGCCGGCGCGGCGAATTCGCTCGCCAAACAGGAACCGCAGGCGAAGCTGGAGGCAGTGATCAAGACCCGCGGCCTCGCCCTCATAGGCAAAGCGCTCGCCGCTGCAAGCGTGACAGCGCTGAAAGGTCTGCAGCCTTTCGTCCTCGACGACGCCCGCGGCTCGGCGTTCGCGCTGGCCGAAGCGCATTGCCCAGAGCTTCGGGGGCCCGCGCTTCTCATGGGGATCGGGTGCGCCTGCTCCACGATGGGGTGTCTCTGACGCCAAGGCAAAGGAGTGCTTCGTCTTCATCATGAACAGCCTGCGCATGGCCCGCCTGGCGGGCGACGTTCCGAAGGGCGAGAAACTGTCCGTGAGCCGAGTCGTCGGGCTCGGGAAGAAGACGCCAGCGATGACCCACGCGCTCTTCAAGAAGAAAGAGCTCGTCGAGTACATCTTCCACGAGGCGTTGCTCAGTGACAAGGCTTTGCACAGAGACATGGCCATATTTCAGACGCCTCTCAGCATCGCGCAGAAGTTCGCTACCTCTGGTGCGGATGGGCTCGTGGCTTCGCATCGGATGTCCGAGTCGGGTGGCTCCGACGGGATGGGCGCGCTGTTTGCGCTCAAAGTGGCTGAGCATCGGGATGGAGCGGACCCCAAGGCGAAGGCGATGATCGACGTCGCGCGGCCTGTGTGGGCTGGCGCTTTCGACGACGAAATTGCCGAGCTCACCTTGCAGGAGATGCAAAGCGGCTCGGCAGGGTTCCTGGCGCGCGCACCTCAACGAGACCAGCTAGCAGGTGGGTGCCAATTACCGCGCCTTCGTGGCCGCGCGCGCCGGTGGGCCGATCCCAGCCGCCCCCGACCTTGACCAACATTTCGGGTTGTCGGGGGTCTCCGAGCTCGGGGGCGAGCAAAAAGAAGAGCTTCGTAAGTTCCAGGAGCAGCGCAAGCAGCTCCGCAGGAAAACCGTCAATTTCGCCACCTTGCCTATTGTCGGCGCCGCCTCTGGCGCGGATTTTGCCACGGTGCGGATGCAGGGCGCGCGGGGGGGGCTCAGCCTTGGGCGCCGCTTCGGGAGGAAGAAGGGCGACGTCCGCGCGTTCGTCGCCTCAGCGGAGCTGTCCCCGCCCAACATCCCCATCCTCTTCGACGGCAGGGGCAGGGCGAACCGCCGTGTCACTGGGTCCTTGGAGGACAAGTCGGCGACGGGAGGCCCCCGCGCGCTCGCTGAGCGCTGGCGCGCGCGCGCGCAGCCGACCAAGAAGGAGGGCCCGCGGGCCGCGGCCAGGGCGTCGAGCTATACCATCAACAACAAGGAGATGGCGCATTTCTCGCCGCCACTGAAGGGCCCGCGGAAAGCGGCGCGCCGTTCGGTGTTCAACTCGCGCGGCGAGACCTTGAGCGCAGACGCGACATGCGCTGGCATCTCCGCGCGGCGCTTCCCGGAGCTCCCCCGCATGTGCCACGACGCCATGGCGAGCGCCCTGGGGGTTGCATCTTGCGCCGCGCTTGAAAACGAGCATTTGCGCGTGCAGGGTGGCGTCGACGAGCGCGGTCACCCGTTCTCGCGCAGCGAGGTGAAGCCTATCTCCTTCTGGCAGACAAGCATGGAGCACCGCGAAGTGACCCGCGTCGTGGACTTCGCTCCAGGCTCTGGCGCCTTGGCCGTCGCTGCCTCTGGCGCGGTGGAGTGCGAGGGCATCGCTGGCAACGAAGCGCGTCGGGACTGGCTCGACCCCATCGTGGGCGGGCGCGCCATGTGCGAGGCGGGCCGCGAGGACGGGCGCGCGGAGCAATTGGGCGGCGACGCGGAGTTCGTCGAGAAAGCCAGGAAGTACCTCGGCGGCACCACGACGGAGGCGCGCCGGTTGTCGACGCCAGTCGCCGAGGGCGGCGACGAGGAGGGGGAGGGGGGATGAGGCTGAGGGGAGCTCGGGCTCGAACTAGACAGTCGCCTGAGACGCTGCCTCTGGCGCGCCGCGACGCTGTCTCTGGCGCGCCACGCGCCGCGCGGGGGGACATTCGAGTTGAGCGGGGGAGCGCTCGAGTGCGAAAGGTGGCCAGTGGCGCCGGCTCTGGCGCGCTAGTTCTCGCAGAGGTTTTTTTGAATAATGCGCGGCGGCGCGCGCGTTTGACGCTCCGTGGCGCGCGCCGCTGCGTGCGACTCGCAGTCGCGGACGGCCTGGTTCGCTCGCTCAGCGGGCGACGCGCCCGCCGACAATGATTTTTTGGCTACGCTTGACATGCGTTTGCGGAAACGCTCGGTTGGAGAAGATGTTCGCAATCATCACTGTCATCGTCGTGGCCAGTGGTCATGGTTGCCGTCGTCGCCGCTGCCGCCACTACCGCTGCCAGCATCAGGTCGGTCGCGATCCTCAACGTTCCCATCGCCATCAGCACCGCCATCGCCGTCGTAGTTATCATTTTCAGCAGGGCCATCCCGAAAGTAGCCAGAAGCACAACAAACATGGAACATAACCGGAGCTTCAAGGCACGCCCAGACCTTCCTGTTGCTGTCTGGGAGAAGGACGCTGGACAGGGCGACCCTCGCATGATCCTTGACCAACTTGGCCATCGCCGCGTCGCACTTCGCGTGCACGACAGAGCTGGGCATGTTAGCGGGCGCACAACTTCTTGACACACACGAACCAGAAGCGGGGCCTGCACTGCGGCCAGCCGACATGCTTGGACGGGTTCAGAAGGCATGCCCGGGCGAAGAAGCCTGACCGACCCAACGTCTCCAGGCATTGCTCCAGGTTGCCCGTGGTGTATAGCCCCCATACGCTCTCCAGGATCAGCACCTTGCACGCGCTCTTCGTCGCGTACTCGACGAGGCCTCGGGAAGGAAAGAAGGGAAGACGGCGAAGGCCCCGGCCGTTCTGCGACGCTGGCTAATGGTTCGACTGCTCAAGAGGCCCCAGGACCGCCCCAAGAGAGCTCCGAGCAGCCACAGAAACTGAGGAACCCGCGGCTTGACTCACTCCTCCCCCTCCTCTTGACGCCTCCTCCTCCTGCTCCGACTCATCCTGCTCCGACTCATCCTGCTCCGATTCCTCCAACTCATTTCGCACGGTGCAGGCCGGCGAAGCAAGAGCCCGTCCTCGCAGACCCCTGCGCCACGACATCGTCGTTCGCGCCGCTCCGGGCCTGCTTACTCTTGAGAGACACGTCGTCACATGGGGGCCCCTCGAAGAAGATGTCCACGTTCCTGGGCGCGGGGTGCATCTGCCCATCCACGGCGTTCTGAGCAGTCGCGCTCAGAGGATGCAGCGTAGTCATGTCACCAAAGACGAGCTTCAAGGTCGGGAACATGTCCATGATGAAATGCTGCTTATCATAGTCGATCTCTGCTGAGAACACGTGATCCATGGTGGTGTCGGCTGCGCCAGTGGCAGCGAGCGCGCGGTGGCAAGCGGAGTTGATCGAGTGGAGCAGGGCCCCCCTCGCCAAAACTTGGCGAGCACGGGGCGGCGGCCCCCAGGCTGCCGAGAGGGGGGGGGGGGGGG